ACCCGGCCCCTGAGGGTTCCCTCAGTCCTGCCCCATGAGTGCAGTGTGTCCGTGCAGGAGGTGGCCGTGTCCCCAAAGCTGTGGCCCACTCGGGCTGTCTCAGCCCAGGAGCAGCGTTCCCAGCCGGAGCGGGCCCTGGGGCTGCTCTTAGGGAGCGTTTTCCAAAACAAGAAGTGAGGAAATCACTGCTTTTTGGAGAATAGACGGAAAAGTCCCGGCCGCGTCATGAGCCCGGGCGTGGGCCCAGCCATCCCCTGAGGCCACCCCGTTGGCATGGCCGGCCTGACCCTGCCAGTGCCGTCCCAGTGCTCCCCATGCAGGATTTGGGCGGCTTTGCTGGGATTCAGCAGCTGGGCAGTGCTGTGTGAGCAGGGCTCTGCCGCCATCCTGTCCACCCCGAGCGGCCACACCGTGCCCCAGAGGGGCCCAAGGGCAGTGCCCTGTCCTGTCTGTCCCATCCCATCCCATCCCATCCGATGATGTGGGGGTGAAGGGGCACAGAGAGCTACAGCTTTCCTCTGCTTTCCCACCGCCTTCCCTGGTACCCTCCCCTGCAGTATCCCCGGTAGCCGCGCAGGGTGCCCATGGCCGGTTTCCCGCAGGGCTGACGGAGGACGAGGACGTCCAGCGGATGCTGCGGGGGTCCCTGCTCCGCAAGATCAAGTCCCGGGGGGCCCCCAGGGAGCGGCTTTTCCGCCTGCAGGAGGACGGGGCCACCGTCTGCTTCGAGGGGGGCTTCGGGCGCTCCCGCTCCCAGCAGAGCTGTGAGTGCCACCCCTGGGGACCGTCCCCTGAGGGCTTGAGGACCCTGGGCCATGTCCTGCACAGCCCTGAGGTGCAGGGAGGGGTTGGGACCTGGGCAGTGCCACAAACCCACCCGTGGGTACCTGGGCTGGGACCCAGATCCCCACCCAGGACCCAGAACCCCCTGGGTCCCAGACCCTCCCTCAGGACCCAACCCGCAACCTGAACCCCCACATGCATCCCAGACCCCCACCCTGGGACCCAGACCCCAATCCAGGACCCAGACCCCAATCTGGGACCTGCACCCCCAGTCTGAGACCCAGACCCTGACTCAAGATGTGGACCACAGTCCAGAATCCAGACCCCCCACCCAGTACCCAGAGCCCAACACATCATACCCAGTGCATCCCATTACATCCCAGTGCCTCCCAGTGCCTCCCAGGCTGAGTCTCCAGAGCCCATACCCATCCCTGTCCACCTTGGGATCACCATGAGGTCCCGTCCCCATCCCCCCAGACCCCAACTCCCCGCCCCGCCTGCTTCTGGCTCTTTCCAGCCTCTCGTCTGGGACGAGTGCCCGGATCTGGCACGGCCAAGACAGCTCCATCCCCCACCAGCGGCCCTGTCCCCATCCCCGCAGGGGACAGCAGCCACCGCTCCTGTCTCGCCTGGGATTAGCGGGTTAAGCCGGGCTGCAGCATCAACAGGAGCCGAGCCCTGGGCCAATGGGGTGGCCCTGGGTACATGTAGGGTGTCCATCAGAGCCCCTAGGGGTGCATAGGGTGTCCATTGATGCCCCTGGGGACACATAGGGTGTCCATAGGAGCCCCCAGGGTCACATAGGGTGTCCATCACTGCCCCTGGGGACACATAGGGTGTCCATCGGTGCATCTAGGGGTGCATAGGGTGTCCCCCAGCAGCCAAGATGTCCTGCAGGACGCTCATGGGTGAGGGAAACACCAAGGGACCACCTCCGTCCCTGGGGTGGCCCCATCCCGGCGCATGTCCCCGCAGTCTCGGTGACACACGTGGAGGCGGTGCGGGAGGGACACCAGTCAGAAGGTCTACGCAAGTACGGTGCCGCCTTCCCCGAGCGGCACTGCTTCACCCTGGTCTTCAAGGGCAAGCGCAAGAACCTCGACCTGGCCGCCCGGGGCGAGGAGGACGCCCGCCACTGGGTGCAAGGGCTCACCAAGCTGATGGGGCGGCTGCAAGCCATGAGTCAACCCGAGAAGCTTGACCAGTATCCTTTGTGGGGGACGTGGGGACTTGGGGACAGATGCTGGGGTGGTTTTTCCTTACCCCAGCGTAGCTGGATCCATGGCGTCCTGCAGCGAGCGGACAGGAACAAGGACAACAAGATGTCCTTCCGGGAGGTGAAGAGCATGCTGAGGATGATCAACATCGACATGGACGATGGCTACGCCTACCAGCTCTTCAAGGTACCCGTCCTGTGCCCCACCACGAGGGGACGCTGGCTCCTTCCCAAGCGCAGAGCACTGTCCAACTCGTCACACCCAAAGCCACCCACGCCACCAGTGGTCAGGTCCATACATGAGCAGGGGCTCGTGGTGGGGTGGGTCGAGCTGTCCCCACATCCCACTGCTCTGTGGGTGTCCAAGGTGTGACATCCCCCCCCTCATGGGGCGCTGTTCCTGTGGGCATCCCCTTCCACCTGGGGAAACTGAGGCACGGCTCTGCTCTACTCCATCCCAGACTGGGAGGTTAGGATGGGTTACAACCCATCCCTGAGCCCCCATCCCAGTAGCTGAGCACCCCCAAAACTCACCCCACATGCTGCCAGTCCCAAGGGACGGGCAGGACGAGGCAGGGGCTGGCCATGCCCCCTCGCCACGGGCAGGGGACGGTCCCCAAGCTTGGGCCGTGTCCCACCAGGAGTGCGACCGCTCGGACAACGAGCGTCTGGAGGGCCGGGAGCTGGAGGAGTTCTGCCGACGGCTGCTGCGGCGGCCGG